TTTGGAGAGGTTTTTTGCTATAGGGCGCGTACGCTCGCCAGACAGACAGAGAGACAGAGAGACAGAAAGCGAGAAATCACCCCCCAGGGGGGTTGGTCACGCCGCAATCCCTTCTCCTCCATTCTCCTCTCAGGATCTTGGGCACGCACGCACACGCGCCCGGTGTGAGATTTAAGCCACCGGGTCCGGGACACGAACCGCGGTCGACTATGTGGGAGTCCAGCGACATAGCCATTACGCTAACTGCTGGTTCCCTCAACCTGTATTTTTCAGCTAATCAAAAGCATGTGTGAAAAAGGTGATAGACAGACAGACAGACAGACAGGTAGATAGTTATCTATATCTACTATTATCTGGCAGTTCTACTGCTAGGTATTATTCAGTAGAAATGAGAACATATTTGCCAAAATACTCGTGCAAGAATGTTTATACGAGCTTTATTTGTAATAATACTAAACTGGAGGTGCCTCAGATGTTAATCAAAAGAAGAATGAGGTGGGCCAGCTAGGTGGCATGGTGGTTAAGGCAGCTGGAACCCACATATCATCCTGTACAGTTAAAGTTCCAGTCCCGGAGGCTTGAAAAATCACTCTGGGCATGGGTGCATGCGTGCCCAAAATCCTGAGAGGAGAATAGAGGAGAAGGGATTGTGGCATGGCCATCCCCCTGGAGATGCTTTCTCCCTTTCTCTCTCCAGTGAGCACACATGCCCTATAGCAAATTAAAAAAATATATATGGGGCAAGCCTATGTCCTAGTAGTTAAGGTGGCTGGATCCCACATGGTTGATCATGTGGTTTGAGTCCTAGACCCTGTGACTTGAGAAACATGCCAGGCACTTGTGAATATATACCCAAAATCCTGAAAAGAGAAAGAGATGAAGGAGAAGGGATTGTGGTGTGACCATGCCCTACAGGGTGGTGCTTTCTCTCTCTCTCTTTCTAGTGAGCACACATATCTTCAGGCAAAATTTAAAAACTAAACAAGAATGGCTACCTGGTCCCAGTGACATGTGCTTACAAGCAAATCCAAGTATTCAGGAAACTAAAGTAACTCAGTACTGAAGTAGGAGAGTCAGGGCCAGCAAGTTGCAGGCCAGCCTGGGTGACTTAGTGAGACCAGGTCTCACTGCGGGACAGAGGGGAGACCTACCATATGATACATGATACCACTTATATGAAATTCCAGAGCTGCTGATACTAACTCATGGTGACAGAATTCAAATTGGTGGTCACTTTTGAGGGTGAAGATGGGGAACTGACTAAGAACAGACAAGGAGGGGCCAGCAGGTGGCATGGTGATAAAGGTGTTGGACTCCCACATGGTCAACTGCAGTTTGAGTGCTAGACCTGGTGCTTGAAAGTTATGCTGGGCACGTGTGTACACATGGCCCAAAATCCTGAGAGGAAAATTGAGGAGACAGGATGGTGGCATGGCCATCCTCCCTGGAGGGGTGACTTCTCACTTTCTCTCTCACTCTGTCTCTCTCTGTCTCTCTGGTGAGGGCACATGTCCCATGCCAAAAACCTAAAAAAAACTTTTAAAAAGAAGGGGCAAGTGGTTACTTTTTGGGATGTTAACAGTGTTCTGTTTCTTTTTTTTTTTTTAGTATTCTTTCACTACAGGGCGTGTGCACTCGCCAAACAGAGAGAGAGAGACATAGAGACAGAAAGCGAGAAATCACCCCCCAGAGGGGATGGTCATGCCGCAATCCCTTCTCCTCCATTCTCCTCCCGGGATCTTGGACACGCACGCACACGCACCCGGCGTGAGCTTCAAGCCACCAGGCCTAGCACGCGAACCGTGGTCGACTACGTGGGAGTCCAGCGACATAGCCATTATGCTAACTGCTGGTTCCCAGCAGTGTTCTGTTTCTTAATCAAACTGGAATTTTTATAAATCAGGGGGTGTATTTGGGATGTGTCCATAGAGGTAGTTTGCAACCATATCCAAACAATATCTTTTTCCTATGGTTAGTGACTTTGAACACAGATTATGTTAAATATTTCATTCAGTTGGAGATCCACACGCAGAATTTTTTAACAAGACAAACTATTCTGTGCCAGAGTTGTTACACTGGAACTTTCTTTGTAATTGTGGTGGACTTCTTTTTTTTTTTGGGGGGGGGGGTAGATTTTTGCTATAGGGACAACTTGCTTGCTGGAGAGACAGAGAGTCAGAAAGTGAGAAATCACCCCCTAGGGGAATGCCCACACCATAGTCCCTTCTCCTCCATGCTCCTCTCGGGATTTTGGGCATGCGCACACATGTACCCGGCATGAGATTAAGCCATCAGGTCCAGGACTTGAACTGCAGTTGACTACAAGGGAGACCAGCGACGTAACCATTACACCATTTGCTGGTCCCTGGACTTCCACTTTTGGCCATGAGGGAGTAACACCTGGAATTACCTTTCTGCTATAAACAACTAGAAAACTAGAACACACACACACACACACACACACACACACACACATAGATATATATATATATTTCAATAAATTCAGTAAATATGTTTTCAGTATATATTAAATTGTTTTCATGAGGTCAGCAGGTAGCATAGTGGTTAAGGTTCTGGACTTCCACATGGCCGACCATGGTTTCAGTTCAGACCTGGGAGCTTGAAAATCACCAGACATGTGTGCATGTGTGTCCAGAATCCCAAGAGGAGAATGGAAGAGAAGGGATTGTAGCATGAGTGTGGCCATCCCCACTGGGGGATTATTTTTCACTTCTCTCTCTCTCTGTCTCATTCTGGTGAGCGCACATGCCCTGTGGCAAAAAAAAAAAAAAAAACTAGAAAAAAAAAGCAGACTGTTTTAGACATTGAGCAATAGCTAGCACAGGCTGCAGTTCCTGAGAAGGAAAACAAACTCTTCTTTATTCTAGCTTTATGCCAAGAGATAATTTCAGACCACAGTGCAGGAGAGGAAACACAAACACAGCCCAGTAGTCTTGCTGAGTTGAGGAGAATTTGGGCCAAGGTGACCAGAATTTGCTGGTCAGAGTTCCAGAGAAGAGGGAGCTCTGGAGAGAAAGGACTTCAGAAATGTGCATGGCCGAATACTACTCTCTGCATGCACAAGGTAAAAGTCCACCAGGCTAAAAACTTCACAAAACTCCAAAAAACAGTTTCTAGAGAAAGAACAATTACAGGATACTTTCAGTCAAATAATTACTAGAACTCATTCAAGGTCCCACCAGCCAGAATGGAAAGACCTGGTTGAATACACAGGGCATTCAACAGAGATCACAGAGGGCTCATACTTTAGTAATGGGGCTAAACTAGTTTCAAAGTAAAATCCGCTCTGGGGCCATTCCACGGTGTAGCGGTTAAGTTGGTTGGATCTTGCACACTGAGTATGGTCTGAACTGTTTTTCCAGTGGCTGGAAAAACAGGCTGGCTGAGCCAACAGGTGGCGTGGTAGTTAAGGTACTGCATCCCACATAGCTGATTGCATCATTTTTGAGTCCTGGACTTGGCACCTTGAAAAACATACCAGGCACAGGGCCAACAGGGGACGTGGTGGTTAAGGTACTGGATACTCCCACATGACTGACCACAGTTCGAGTCCTAGACCTGGTGGCTTGCTTTCTCACTTTAATTCTCTCTATCTTTGTGTGTCTATCTCTGGTCAAATTAAAATAAATGAATTAATACATAAAATTTAATAAATAAATTTTTAAAAAAAGAAAAGAAAAACATGCCAGGCACATATATATTCATGCCCAAAATGCCAAGAGGAGAGTGGAGGAGAAGGGATTGCAGCATGGCTATCCCCCTTAGGGGGTGACTTCTCACTTTCTCCATCTCTTTCTCTCCCCAGTAAGTACTCATGCCCTATGGCAAAAATCTAAAAAAGAAAATGTAGTAAAAACTATCCACTGTGGGGGCCAGCAGTTGGCATGACTGCTGAGGGCACCGAATTCCCACATAGTCAACTGTGGTTCAAGTCCCGGACCTGGCAGCTTGCTTTCTTACTTTCCTCTCTCTCTTACACTGACTCTTTCTGGTCAAATAAAAATAAATGAATAAATAGAGTTAAATAAAGTAATTCTTTTAAAAAAAAGAAACTATCTACAGTGAAGCATAAAATGAAAACTGAATGAAAGAGACATAACCAGAGCCTAAGTGACCTGTGGAATAATAGCAAGCCGTCTAACAAACCTTTAATTGAATTCCCAGAAGGGAAAAGAAGAGGGCAGGAAAAAAAATGTTTGTAATAATGGCCAAGTTTTGTTTTGTTTTTAATTATGATTGTGTTTGTCATTAAAAACTGTCTCATGACAGCCATTAGAGAAAATTTTTATTTCACTTGTATCATTTAAGATGAATTACACAAAAATTTATTAGGTTGGGACAATCATTTAAATGTTAGCAAATAATTGAACACTTTGAGCAGGAGAATAGAAAAGGAAAATTAAATGCTGGGTTGTAGTGAGTAGTAAATATCAGAATTGAAAATTACAATTACTTGTGTTACATTGTCAATTTGACTCTGTCTAGTAACACAGAAATATTCTTTACCAGCTCTAAATATTTGATTTGACCTTCTTTGCAATTAAGTTAAAAATTTAGTAGTAATGTATGTTGTGACTGGATTTCTGATTTTCTTGTTACAAAATTATTTTGTATTATTAGCATCAGAAGAACTGACCATTGCTGGCATGACTTTTACAACTTTTGATCTTGGTGGACATGTTCAAGGTAAGAGTCTATCTTTCTTATAGTTGCTTTGTTTTACAAACTTAATTAAAATGTAGCCATTATGTGTCAGTGCATAAAATCTCATTCTATTCAAACAAAGCCACAGTAGACTTAAAATTTAGAGATGATTACCCTTACCTTACATCTACCTATGTAAATGATTTAAAAGCAAAGGGTCATTTTTATGATACTTCTGGTTAATTTAAGTCTGAATTGCTTTTGGTGATGAAGTATATATATATATTTTTTTTAAAAAAGAATTATTTAATTTTATTTATTCATTCATTTTATTTTAATTTGACCAGAAAGAGACAGAGAGAGA